TCATCAGGAAAAAACCCTGTGGGAAAAAAAATCCTAATGAGGGAAAAAGAGTACACTGGATGCCCCCAGAATGAAGCAAAAGGAATGCACCGTTCGACCTTGATTGTTGAGCGGCGGTCGTGTCCGACTGCTGAGGGGATATCCAAGACCAGCCTTAGATCCTGCATGAAAAAGCTAAGGAGCTTGTAAGGACCCCCCGTTACCAAATAAAGGTGACGGAGGGGTGCAAGGCCAGGTGGTCCTGTGTGAGAGCCCCTGACATCAATTAAAGATGTCGGAGGGATGAAGGCCGAGGGGCCTGTATGATAGCCCCCGATATCAAATAAAGACGTCGGAGGGATGAAGGCCGATGGCCTGTGTGATGGCCCCTGACATCAAATAAAGTTGTCGGAGGGATGAAGGCCGATGGGCCTGTATGATAGCCCCTGAAATCTAATAAAGATGCGAGAGGGATGAAGGCCGAAGGGCCTGTGTGATAGCCCCCGATGTCAAATAAAGATGCCGGAGGGATGAAGGCCGATGGCCCGTTCTGCCGTTGAGGCAGAGGGCCGTTGTGACGTAGAGTCATGCTGAGACTGAGGGCCGTATGATGTTGAGGCCGAGGGCCATTGTGATGTGGACTCACGCTGAGGCCGAGGGCCGTTGTTGATGTAGAATCACGTTGAGGCTGAGGGCCTTTGGTGGTGTGAAATCATGTAAGGCAAAAACCGTTATGACATGGAGTCATGCTGAGGCCGAGGGCCGCTTGATGTTGAGTAATGTTGAGGCCGAGGGCCGTTGTGAAGTTGAGGCCGAGGGCCGTCCTGATGCTGAGTCATGTTGAGGCCGAGGGCCGTCTGATGTTGAATCCGAGATCCATTGTGATGTGGGCTCACGCTGAGGCTGAGGGCGGTTGTTGATGTAGAATCACGTTGGGGCCGAGGGCCTTTGGTGATGTGAAATCATGTAAGGCAAAAACCGTTATGACATAGAGTCATGCTGAGGCCGAGGGCCATTTGATGTTGAGTCATGTTGAGGCCGAGGGCCGTTCTGACGTTGAGACTGAGGGCCGTTGTGAAGTTGAGGCCGCGGGCCGTCCTGATGTTGAGTCATGTTGAGGCCGAGGGCCGTTCTGGCGTTGAGGCCGAGGGCCGTTGTGAAGTTGAGGCCGAGGGCCGTCCTGATATTGAGTCATGTTGAGGTCGAGGGCCGTCTGATGTTCAAGCCGAGGGCCATTGTGATGTGGACTTACGCTGAGGCCGAGGGCCGTTGTTGATGTAGAATCACGTTGAGGCCGAGGGCCTTTGGTGATGTGAAATCATGTAAGGCAAAAACCGTTATGACATAAAGACATGCTGAGGCCGAGGGCCGTCTGATGTTGAGGCCGAGGGCCTTTGATGTTGAGTCATATTGAGGCCGAGGGCCTTTGGTGATTTAGAATCAAATTGAGGCCGGGGGCCTTTCCTTGATAGTTCTGGGAGTCCTCCTGGTGTATGTTCCTTCTTTCAGGCTTCGACCGAGGGAGTTGATTCCCCGCCTCGGCCGAAAGGGGGTCCAAGTGATCCGTCCGGGGGTTCGTCTGTTAGTCCCCCGGCGCTGGGTCGTCCCTTGATTGTGCTAGGAGGTGGTATGTTAGTCCTCCCGATGTGTGTTCCTTCTTTCAGGCTTCGAGCGAGGGGGTTGCTTCCCCGCCTCGGCCGGAAGGGGGTTCAAGTGATCTGTCCGGGGGTTCGTCTGTTAGTCCCCCGGCGTTGAACCGTCCCTTGACCTTAGGGGGTCCCGTCATCTATTTACGGCGCGGGCTAGGCTTGGTCGGTTTCCGACGACTGCCGTTTCACCCCCAAGTTTGGGGATTTCGTCACCTCAGCCATTCTTTCAGGCCTGTCGCTGTGCGTTGTGCGCCGACGACGCGATGAGCGTCCCGCTCCAAAAACGCGGGCCTTTTGCAGGCCCCTCGTCTTTAGACACCATCGGCCATACCTGGGCATTTGGCCTAGAAGGGGCCAATAAGATGTCTGTGTTGTGTTGTAGTTTACTTAAATTCATAGAAATAAGTGAAATACAAGGGGTGCGTTGTTTGACAACGGCTTTGTTAAGATACACGGCTCGAGGCTGAGGGCTCTAGGCCGAGGGGATGATAATGTGCCTCGAGGTCGAGGGCCCAAGGCTGAGACCGACGGCGAAGGTGAGGAATACGATTATCGGAGGTGGCGCTTCTTTAGCTGGGGCTCCTCGAACTCCTCGTCGTCGCTGAACCTCCCGATTTCATGTTTCTTCGTTGCAATGTCCCCTTGTTTTTTATCGGTGTTCTCCCCGGCGTTTTTCCTTGGGGCATTTTTGATGAATTGGTGGAGCTCACCCCGTTGAATTAGGAGTTCAATAGTCTTCTTTAATGAGACACAGTCGTCTGTATTGTGGGAGGTGCTTTTTTGGTAACGGCAATATGTGCCGCCTTGGTGGATGGCGTAGATCTCCCTCGCCAACCGAGGGTCCTTGGGGAAAAGGTCCTGCTCTTCCGCATAGTTGAGGATAGTGCTCACCGGGTGCGTGAGGGGAGTCCTTGGCATGTCCATCCGAGGGCGCCATTGGCGGTCGTTCCGGCCCTAATGGGTGTGGCTTCCATGTTCTCGGCCCCTGGCCGAGGGGGCATTTGGGGCCTGCGTGTTGTTTGTCTTCTTCGAGGGCGGGCCTTCATTCTTCTTGAAGGAGTGGAGGTCGTCGGCATCGGCGTATAGGCTCCCCCACTGGAGTGCTCTGAGGTATGATCTTGGGGGGTCGGTGATGAGGCTCCGTGCGTAGGGGCTGCTGCGGAGAACCCCCTGGAAGAGGACGAGGAGGGTACGCTCGTCGGCACCCTCGATCTCGTCTGTCTCCTTCATCCACCGGTTAATGAAGGACCGAAGTGTTTCGTCAGGCTGTTGCTTGACGGAGAGGAGGTGGGAGAAGTGCTTTCTCGTGCGCTTCCTTCCGGTGAAATGGGTGAGGAAGCGTTGGGCAAGATCTTGCCAAGAGTCAATGCTGCCCTCGGGCAGTCGGTTGAACCATTCGTATGTTGGTCCCTCCAAGGTGGAAAGGAACCAACGATACAAATATTCATCCGATGCCCCCATCATCATCATGTTGTTTTGATACCTACTGTAGTGCTCTTGGGGGTCAGTTTTTCCTTCATAGGGCTTGATGGGTTGCCCTCGGTACTTCCCTGGAATTTGGGCTGCCAATACCCTTGGGGTAAATGGCGTCCGAGTTCGGAGTTGGATAATGGGTTCCCCGGAGCCTTCGGCAAATTTCCTTTGCATCTCCTCCATCTTTGCTAGCATGGCGGTGTATTTGGGGTTCGCCTGTGAGGTGGAAGCTGTAGTGTGCGTCTGGCGGGCCTCCATTTCATCAAGGCGGCATTGGAGGGCTTCAATCACTTCGTCTTTGGGATCCCTCGAGAGGGCCTCCGCCCCCTGCGAGCGTACCCGAGCGGAGTGGGCCTGGTTGATTTGGTGTCTGGCATCGTCGGCATGGAGTAGTCCCTTGCCTTTGTCCTGTGGGAGACGTCTTTCGTCTGCCCTTGAAACGGATCCCGCACTCTCTTGGGGTCTTTGGAATGTCGTTCCACCGAGGCGTACTTGGACCCCTCGGTGGTCTTGCGCCCCTCTGATCCGTTCGAGGGCGGAGGTCCTGGGCCTTTCCTTGTTTGCGCCACGGCGGTCCCAGGGTTGGACTTCCTGGGAGACGGTGTCTTGAGCTACGACCCCTTCGTTGTTCCCAACTCGAGGGGTAGGGTTCACGAAGGGGGGTGGACAGGGGAGAGGTATAGCGTTCTCCCCGACATGTGGTTGAAGGGGCACCAGAGTGCCGAAGGCACCTGGATTTTGGGTGAGTGTTTGGATGAAGGCGGAGAATGCCGACTGCACGTCGATACTGAGGACCGGAGGACTCACTTGGTTTTCGCTCTGGTCCTTCTTGATGCCAAGGCGGGCATCAGGGGCATTCTGTTGGAGCTGAAAGCGCAGGTCGACAGCCGTCTGTTCCAACCCAGCGAGTGCGCCGCCCTCGGGAGTCCTGTTAGAGGCTTCGGGGGCGTCGACGTCGCCGAGGGCCAGGTTCCTGTGCTCATGAGTCTTGGATTGGGCATAGGTGTTTCTTCCCATTTTGATAGGTGTTTTTAGCTGAAGGGGAGGGTTTCTTACTTGATTTATTCGACCTCTCAACGAGAGCACCAAATGATGGATAGTGTACCCGGAGTAGCTTATCCGAGGGGTTACTGCGGGGAGTAACTAGAGAGAAGTCAGAGCAAATAAGTAAGAGAGATAAAGAGTTCGAATGTGAAATGTGTATTCAAGTTGTGCGTTACAAAGGGAAAAGGGAGAGCTATTTATAGTAGTAATAAATGCTAGATAGGGACACGTGTCAGCATTCTGGTGGTCGAGGGGTCACTTCAACCGGGGTGGCACTGGCACTCGCATGTGGCCGCATTAAATGCGGTGGTTGGATGTGACGTTTGTACTTGGTACGGTGATCCAGGCGCATGTGGAGAGGATATTCTGTCGAGGTGGATGCCTTCGGTTGAAGGGTGCTGAGCCGAAGTCTCTTCTAACCGGGGGCTCCATTATGCCGAAGGCTGTATGCGCCGAAGGCTTCTGATGCCGAAGGTGAATACTCATGCCGGAGACTCCCTGTGGCTGAAGGCTCTGTAAGCCGAAGGCTCCTGATTTCTGTCATTTCCTCCCAGTAGCTTCGTATGCTCAAATGAAATTGTTCTGTGGAATTTGGAGCCCTCAGCCAAGGAGATCGAAGGCACTTACACGTGTATTTGTGGGCTTCTTGATACTCGGGCCGCTACGTCTGGGCCTTGTGTGCTCATTGGGCTTGATGGGCCTGATCAGGAGAAGTAGGAGTCTGTGGCCCGGGGGTCCCCTGGGCCATATACTCCATCACATGTTCTCTGCAATTGTAGCCCGCCCCTGAAATTATTTGTAAGACTATGGAAGTGTAATACAACTAGGTCACCAATATTACTAAAAATTAGCAAATGGACAAAAAAGTTAACTTCTCTTTAATTTCCAAAAATGTGACTAATTAACATTACACTTGCTAAATTACCCCTGACCCCTAGTGACTTTATCAAACAGTGACCTAGTCCGTCACAGTGACCTAGTCCGTCACAGTGACATACCATTCAGTGACCTCCGTCATACTTCCGCCATTAGTGACCAAGCTATAGTGACACACCTATAGTGACTAATTGTTCAACTTCAACAACTTCAGTGACAAACACCGGTGACAAAAGCTCAGTGACCAAACAGTATACAATTAAAGTTACAAACATTATTCACACAAATTTTAAATCTCCAACCCCATTGTCTACCGGCCGCCGCCACAGTTAATCTCTTAAATCGCTCCGACCAGTCGCCGTCGTTGCACCGTCAGTCACTGCCTCTGACAGTGACTTCAGTGACCACAAAGCACATACATTCTCTGATCAGTGACACATCCCGGTCTAGTGACCTCCATCCCCCATTTTGGTGACTGCCGCCGCGGAGTGACCCAGTGACCGTTGCAGCCGCCAACCAACCCACCCCGACTCAATTGCCCGCCCCCTCCCTAACCCCCAACAACCTCCCCGGCCCCCATCCACCTCCCTAGCCCCTTGTCCTGCCCCCTCTTCCGCCCTAACTCCCCGTCCCTAGGCCCTTCCCATATTCCTAAGCCCATGTCTCCCCCACTCAGATCTGAAAGTGAGTTGACGCAGCTGAAGAAGTTTAATGTCACCGCCGCCATCGAAGTATACTATCGCCACTGTAGAACCAGATCCGGAGATCACCGAAGAGGTCTCTCGCTGCCGCCGCCAAATACTGAGGTTTGTCACCAAAGAAGGTCGGAGAAGGGTAGAGATTGCAGGCGAGAGGTTGGATATGGGGGGGAGATTGCAGACGGGTGGGAGAGAGAAGAAAAGAAAGAGGAGGGAGAACGCGCCTGCGGTGAAGGCGGCGGTGTAGCATGGGATGGAATGGCGGTGGCGTGAAATTGAGGGGTATTTTAGACAAATAGTATGAGTTTTAGTTATTTTTTGTCCACACGAGATTTAGCTTTATTTTTGTCTTCTCAAACGTTAGAGCTCTTATTTTAGCCATTCATTCATACAACTTATACAAGCATAACCATCTTGTTGTAGGTGGCCTGAACTTGTACACTCTGTGATATGATAAATAATATTTTTCTTTAATCTATAGTGAAGAAACTTGGTTAAAAAATAGATTTAAAGAAAAATATTATTTATTCAAAATTTTATATGAGTAATATTGATACTCTTTGAAAGATTTTAAAAAATCTATTTAAATTAGTACGGAGTATATATTTTTATTAAATTTGGATCATAATTTAAAATCATATTCTTTGGTCAATAAAATATGACTCCCACAACAAGAACATAATTCATTGGGTTCTGCAACCTTCCGCCGGATTCTCATCTCGCCCTGACACGCCTCTCAGATTATACGCAGGATAGTACCCATTTCCACGCAATGGCATCACACCGGAAGCACTATAGTATCCGTATGATTGCGGCCCCGGATAAGATTGCTCTGGCGGCGAGTAAGATTGTGGCGGCAAATAAGATTGCTGCGGCGGCGGATAAGATTGTTGCGCCAGCGGATAAAAGTACTGTGACGGCGGTAAATAAGATTGCTGCGACGGCGGATGAAAGTTCTGTGATGATGGGGGATAATAAGAATGGAGAGGAGCACCGAAATTCGACCCCCGGATACCCCCTATCCGGCTAGTGTGGTTCCAAAACACGGATCCAAACATATCACTCACCGATCTTCTGTGAATTGCACAGAACTCGTCCTTGCAAATATCCTCATCCACCGGCGGCGGCGGCGCACATACATGTTTCTTCTCTTTCAACCTGCGGCTACACTTAACACAATCGTTTTCTGGTTCGTGTTCATCCGAATGAGCAGAAGATTCATCCTTCTCCTTCGCCTTGGATTTACAGGAATTCTTGTTATCCTCTTTGATTTTTCCGTTGCAATGATCAGCTGAAGAAGCGGGGGATTTGGTAGGGTCTTTTGAGCAGGAAACGAGTTGGGCTGCTTTACCCATTTTCTGGATATAGTTGACTAGCACAGTGGGCTCGCAATTACATCTCACGGTGGCCAACTTGTTTATTGCATCATACTTCACCGAATATAAATCTACGGAGTATCACAGAGCAAATAAAAAAAAATTAAAATAGAATGAGTTTTTAAATACCATTAAAAGCGCTTTTGGTAATATTTAAATTATTGACCGATTTTACTGCATTTTATGACTTTCTGGTTGAAGTTGTTAGATGACTAATTCTGTTGATTTATGAAAAATTATGTTTAAAATATATTTTATTAATAAAATAAAGAGAAAATTATATGAAAAAGTGATTTTCAATAGTAACTTCAATCAGTACAGCCAGAAAAAATAACTTCAATCTTATTTTTTCTTATTATTACACAACTCAGTGCGTGAAATCAAAATTTACGTTTTCGACGAAAAGATGATTAATAAGCTATCATTATACTGTAATAAACATGAAATTAAAGAAAATATATGGATTCAAATTAAGCTTGTGATATTATTGTTTTTTTTTTGAAAATGGAATGCTTTGGTATGATATGTACCTATCTGATTTGAATAATTACGTCTAGGGATGGATTTAGGCCGGGCCGGGTCCGGGTCGGGCCGGCGGTTCAGAATAGGTGGACCCGGGACCGGTCCGGGTAGCCACCAGGTCCGGTCCGGGTTCGGGTGGGGCCGGGGCTCGGGCTTGTTTTTTTTACTTACCTACCTATCCCTGACCCCCCACCCCCCAAACCCCCCCCCCCCCCCCCCAAACCCCTCCTAAACATCAAGCCCAAACCGGGTGGAGCCCAAAAAATGAAAAAAAAAATCAATTTGGCCCGAACCGGGCCCGACCTCCTTTTTACCGCCCTGAGCTCACCCCGCTCATCTTCTATAACCGGGCCATAGACCGGTTTTGCGCCCGAAGAACCGGGTCGGGCCGGTCTCGCACAGTAGCGGCCCGGGCTGGTTCCCGGGCCGGGTCTGGCCTAATTAGTTCTGTTTAATTCTAGTTGATATATTTAATTTCCGTTTGACTTGATTTTGTTAGCCCTAGTTGGTATTTTGAAGAGCTTGTTTTTGTGATGTTTTTAATTGGGCTAAGACTTTATCATTAGATCTAGTCTGATTATGGTTGATCTCATCAGTCCAAATGCGGTGTGGTAATGTCTGAGATAATCTGATCTGATAGATGTTTGATCTATTTACATTTTATACCTACCAAAGTTTAGTTTGCTTAAATCTAGTTTGGACTTTTTAAATCTGTTTAAGTCTACTATATCTAATTTGTTCTATTCTATTCTTATCAGGGATTCAAATCAATCCCAATAAAAAACATAATTAGTAAAATATGAGAGTTTTTTCCTAAAATCTTATTAACCAAAAGATTATGAACATATATGGGATTTAGTTACTTTCAATAACTACTCCGTATAATTGTGCACAAAACTTGTAGTGACAACTTTTAAGATACTCCCTATATAAAGGAATATAGGAATTACTTTCAAAATAATATGTGAAAAAGTATGGGAGGAAACTGGAGAGAAGTACTACGTTATACTAGTAAATTAGCTCTTAATAACATATCGTAAGTTTTCTATGACATTTACTTCACTCATTTTAGTGATTTACTTTCTGAGTTAAAGAAAAGTACATATACTTCAGTCCCTATATTATTTTCAAACTTTCTTTTTTCGCTCGCCCTAAAATTATCTATTTTTTTCTTTTTTGCAAAGACTTTGTGGTTCACAACAATTCTTACACATTCTTACATATTTCTATCTCATTTGCACAACTCTTCACAATTTTTACAGGTATGGAGGCAGTACATATATATATTCATAAAAATAGTAAATCTTAAAAAATCAAACAAGATCAAGATAATACTGGATGGAGTAATGATAAAATAAAACCAGCAATTCCATTCAAGGAACATAAATGTTATTCGTAGTAAATAAATTATCTCTCCTTATTTGAATGATTTTATACAATTTGGTAAGTTTTTCTCCACAATGTCAAGAAGATCGTCTATGTTGACATTGTGATTAACATTGCAGAGAAAAACTTACCAAAATTGTTTAAAATTCATTTAAATAAAGACATAAAAGTTTTTTTACTAATATTTATGTGTCTATCTCTAATGCCATCTAATGTCACACGTGCACCGTCAACATTAGGAACAAAAAGGGCCTACATCAACTAAGACCGGAGAGGTATTAAATTAAATTTACCATTAAGCTTTAATAACGCCTTCTCCAATTTGAATTGACAACCCGAGCAACAAGTGACGTCTACTCTTAGCACGCAAACCTGTTGCGTTTAAACATCATCATTAGTATGTACTCCGTAATTACTTACCCTTTTTACACAAAACTGCAAATTTGATTATTACATTGGCGGGTTTGGACTTTGGAATGAATAATAATGCAATAAAGCAGATACTCTAGCTGAATTTGAAATGATTAATAACGGAGAATAAGAGAGCCCGTTTGGTAACCATGTTTTTCAATTCGGGCCGATACATAAGTAGCTACCCGGGCCGGTTCCGGGCTTCAAGATTCAAAAAAAAAAACGGTCGGGCCTGGCCCGTATCGGCCTGAGTCCATGCTCATTTTCAGCTTATAATGCTTATCAATCAATATTTTCACTAAACATGTAACTTTTGATTTCACACGATGAATTGTTTAATAATTAGAAAAAGTAAGATTGAAGTTAGTTTTTTGATTATATTGACTAATGGACTTACCGTAGATGATAATTTTAGCTATTTTACATATAACTTTTTCTTTATTTTATTAACAAAATATATTTTAGTTTTTTTCATAAACTAGCAAAATCAATCAATCTAGCTAAAACTTCATAAATTTCGCAGAATCAATCGACTCATCTCATTTAAATGTTATCAAACAAGTTCTATCTTTAAAAAAAAGCTGTAAGTATCTAATAAGCGTTTCATACTTTATCTCATATGCTATTAATAGTGTGTTATGTAATCATTATTCACTCCTTAAATATTTGCAATAGCTATAACTTTCATTATCCACTTGTTTTTGTTACTTGTTTGCTTATAGGAGCTTAAAAAATAATTTTCGAGCAATAGTAACGTTATTCTTACTTATTGATAGTGATAATAAAATATCTTTAAAATGAATAAATTCAAATACATGATCGATAGCATTAATAACATCTGAATCTCTAAACTGTAACAACAATTAACGTCCACTTTCAACAATTAACATCAATACATATTTACCTAATTATTTTCCTATATAACACTGTAGCAAAACGATGTTCCAAAACAATTCAGCTAAAATAACACTTATCAAAGAAGTTCTAAACTAGTGTAAAGTGCAAAAAATTGAAAATCAGTCGACATATAACTTGTACGGAGTTTATATATGGAAGTTTTTGGAACTGATTCTTATTCTGTTTTTTATTTTAAAAAAAAGCAGAATATATCATAAGCAGTTTTGAGAAGCTCATCTTTCACAGGTTCTAAAAAACTGCTTCTATGAGTAAATTAGAGCACTATAAGTACTTATTCACTTTCAAAGTTTCACCCAAACACTGAGACTTTTATATATATATGCTTTGTAGTACTTTGTACTCCCTCCGTCCCGCTAACAACAAGAGGGAGTGACACGCAAATTAATAAAAAGTGGTTTATGTGTTTGATATTGAATTTATAAAGTAAGAATAAAGTAAAAATGATTTAGAACCACACAAAATTTACCAAGTTTGGAATGAGACAATCTTAGTGGGACGGACCGATAAGGTAAAATGAATACTCACATTATTCGACCGTGAGTGTTCCATCGGGCTTGCTAGCTTGAACATACTATAGTATTTTTTTACTATAGTAATTGAATTGACTAATTGTTATATCTCTAACAAGTATATAAATTATACGTAGTAGTAATTAAGCAATGGAGAGGAGCAACGAAATATACATATTTTGGAGAGGAGATTTGGTGCTTCTATTATCATTATTCCATATACATTTATAGAAGGGAAAAAGTCATATCAATAAATGGAATATGTACACTTAAGGAAGTCAAATTAGGTATATATCGAATACTTACATGATTAGGAAGTACCCGTAGTATTTATTATGGAGTTATATATTGGCGTAAATAACATATTTTGATTTTTGATTGACGAAATCGATCTTTTATGAATAAAATCAGGTCCTGCTTGTTTCAATAAACCATCTATTTGGGAGGAGTATTTTTAAATGTGCCCTATTAAATTACCTTGGGCATTTAGTTCTGTAAATGCACAAACCCGTAGTTTTTATAATTTCCAAATCGGATTTTGTAACTTATAAATTTGCTACATGCATAGTATTAAAGTGAGGTTCATATTTTTTTGGCTAAAGGGTCAAATAGGTCCCTGTACTCATATCAATAGCTCAATTGGGTACCCGAACTAAAAAAAGGTCCAATCCAATCCTCCAACTCTTCAAAATCGTTCAATTTGACCCTTTAGCCGGTAAACTCCCGGTACTCAATTGAGCTATTGATATGAGTACAGGGACCTATTTGATCCTTTAGCCTTTGAAAAACGAAAAAATTGAACGATTTTGAAGAGTTGGAGGATTGGATTGGACCTTTTTTTAGTTCGGGTACCCAATTGAGCTATTGATATGAGTACAAGGACCTATTTGACCCTTTAGCCTATTTTTTTGGAACATGTTCTGAATTATTTTGATGAATTATTATTATTATTATCAATAAAGTGAGGTTTATCCACACCAAATTACATGAATTATTTTGATGAATTATTATTATTATTATTTTGAAATTTTAAAAGAGGATTTTTATGTTTTTATTCTCTAAATACGAGTAATTTCTGCCAAATTTGGAAAAACTTTTGTAGAAACTATCATGTTTAAAGTCCATATATGCCCCCGAACTTATGTTGAAGTTCATATATGCCCCTGAACAAATATACCCCTGAAGTATATGTTGAAGTCCATATATGCCCCTGAACTTTTAAAAAATGCAAAAATACCCCTTATGTTCTTATAAATGAGTAAACGTACCCGTATTGACTT